GGACAGCAGATATGCCCTGTGGATGCTCATTGAATTTGTGTCTGCCAGCAGCCTCCATCGCCCTTGCACTCAGTGGTTTGCCCCACCCTCTGCCACCTCCTCCATCTAATCCTCACATTCCCCTCAACTGTGACCTTCATATACAGGCACCAAATGTTTCAATGGTAAGGTCATCTCTGTGGTCTGAGCCAAGTTGGTGGAGGAATGGGAGGCTGAAGTCAAGGCCTGCGCTGCTGATCAATGCAAGTGTGCCAATAGATCTGCTGAGACTCAAGCCAGACAGCTTCGCCAAGCTGAATGGAAGGCCCACAATGACTCTGCCATCACTGAATACACCCAGCTGGCCAAAGCTGTGGCTGCAGGCTTCAGCCCCATCATTTAACTTACCTTCCTGCCCCTGCCCAACCCCCTCTTGTGAACAGCATTGCTCACCCCTTAGTAAAGTGCTCCTCCTTCTTGCCTTCTTCTTCTTTCTTATCCCCAGAGCCCTGGCTGCTAATGCCACCAACAATGATGCACCTCACACCAAATACCCCCCTACAAATAGATGCCACCTTATGTACCCCCTGTGGACCAAGGTTGGTCATCCCCCACTCTGGTTCCTCAGCCACCCTGCCTGCAAATGCTGTATGTATTGCATTCAACACTGCACAATCACCTCCCCACAACCCCTCTTGCTACTACTAACTGTCCTGGCTATTGGTCTCTTCCCCCTGGGGGTAGAGGCCACCTGCACTGACCTGGACAGCGCCACTGGAGACACCATCTTGCCCATCACAGTCACTGGTGGTGTCCTTAACCTTGTCTCCATCAACATCACCCATTCACCAACTCATTTGGACACAGTCAATTGGCTCATGTCAAAGCATGGGTGGCACATCATGCTAGTTCAGGAAACAGGCCTTCTGTGTGACACTGATGTGGATATGGAGGACCACATCTGTCGCCAGCTCACCAATAACATCCACTTCAATTCCCTGTCTGCACCCACCCTCCATGCCAAACAAACTGCAATTCAACTCTCCAAACTCAATCACCAACTTCAAGAAGGACACATCTCACAGACACAATTTTGAATTGACTATCAACAGCTCCCAAACCTATGCTGCAGGTGGTTTGGCCATTCTGGTGGCGCCCTCAGTGGCCCACTATATCTGGGTGCACAAGGTACTTAAGCACGATGACTCTGGGGCCCCATGCCCCAACAGCCATCTAATGATGATATTGCTGTCTGCCTGCAGTGTGCCCATGTGCGTGCTCAATGTATATGCCCCCATGGAAGGGCTTGCAAAA